TGGATACTCTTCATATGGTAGTTACTGCATTAATTTCTGTATGACATGGTGCACTTTTAGGAGCTGTTAGTGTTCCAGGATATTTCACGGAATATGAAAGATCTCATTACATTTATGATCTAAACTGTGATGGTAATGAGTCGAGTATCTGGAATTGCTCTTATGATACGTTAAATAGCAATAATTGCAATGAACAACAAGATGCTTCAGTTTATTGCCAAGGTAGTGAATTCTATTAAAATGACTCTGCATTACATAACTTTGAATATAGATATTAGTACCCTAAAGGCAGATTGTACTGATGGTGATGTTAGATTAGTTGGTGGTAGTACAGAATATGAAGGAAGAGTTGAAGTATGCATTAATAAAGCATGGGGCACAATCTGTAAATCTGGCTGGAATGAAAATGATATTCATGTAGCCTGCAGACAGCTTGGACATGCAGGGCTAGGTACAGTGTATAATTACAAATTCAATTTATAAGTGTATTTTTAAGGTTCATCAAGGTATTCACAATTTGAGCCTGGCATTGGTCCAATTTTTATGGTTTCTGTTCGATGTTCAGGATCAGAGACTAATCTATTAGATTGTTATTATAGACAACCCTTTCAATATTCTGATTGTGGCCATTCCTATGACGCTGGACTCAGCTGTGAAGGTATAAAAGTTATTTTTATCATTGTTTTTATACAAATGCAGCTTCTTGTCAGAATGGCACAGTGCGTATAGTTAGTGAGTCAGATAGCTACTTCAGGAGATATGGTCGTGTAGAAGTTTGCATTTCCAATGAATGGGGAACAATTTGTAATGATTACTGGAATGACATGGCTGCTACTGTAGTTTGCAAAATGTTGGGCTATTCACCATATGGTAGAGCATATTTTTTGTAGACTTTTCAAATCATCTATCATTTCTATAGGTGCTAAAGCATTATCTAACACTTTTACTGAGGGATACTTGCATATGCATTTTACAAAACTCAATTGTAGTGGGTCAGAAGAGTCAATTTTTAACTGCTCTTACAATGAACTTTCAAATTATTACTGCAGCAGATATCGTGATGCCTCTGTCATTTGTCAATGTAAAGCATATTGACATAAAGTATTGTTATTTTTGTATTTTTCATAGTAAATAATGTACAATATTCAAATTGCACTACTGGTAATATCAGATTGACAGGTGGTTCTAACCAGTTTGAAGGAAGAGTTGAATTGTGTGTCAATGGAGTTTGGGGTTCTGTTTGTGATAATAGCTGGGACTCTACAGAAGCATCTACAGTTTGCAAACAACTGGGATATGAAGGTTAGTGGTTCGCCAAAATAGAACAGCTAGATCCATTTAGTGATAATTATGTTCTCTTATAATAACCATAGTTTCTTCATATAAAACAAATTCCTTTTTTGGAGTTAGTACTTTGCCAATGCATATATATTACTCAAGTTGTTCATCAAGTTCCACTAATCTGCTTGGTTGCTATTTGAGTTGGCTTCCTTCATATTCTTCCTATTGCAATAATTATCATGAAGCTGGTGTTATTTGTTCTTGTAAGTGTATATTGTTTGTAGTGATGATTAATTATTATGTAAATCTTTATAGCAAATTGTAACAATGGTCAAGTTAGATTGTATGGTAGTGACTCACAAAGACGTGGTAATGTACAGGTTTGTATTAATAATACTTGGCAAGCAGTTTGTGGCAGAAGAAATTATGGAGTCGATAATAACCTCGCTTCAGTTGTATGCAGTGAATTAGGATACTCACAATATGGTATGAATTTAACACTAAATATACCAGGGAAATATGTTTTATCATTTATAGGTGCTAAAAGCACTGCTGGTCTTTGGTACAATTATAATAATTTATATAGCTTCTTCAATATTCATTGTTATGGAAATGAGTCAACTATATTTGATTGTCAATATGGCACATCAGGATACTGTAATAGATATAATGCTATAGGGGTTGTCTGTTCTCATAGTAAGTTTTTATTCCATGCAACAACTGTTTAACTACATTTACGTTAGGTAATATTAATCCAGTGAATTGTACTGATGGTAGCATAAGATTGTATGGTGGTTCTAGTGCATTGGATGGTATACTACATGTGTGTGCTAATGGAGCATGGGGCACTGTGTGTTCTAGATCTTGGTATAATGATGAAAATATAGTTGCATGTCGACAATTGGGCTTTTTATCCTACAGTGAGCCTAATAGAACTAGTATGCAAATGTCATATTGTATCTGTAGGTTATGAATCTGTTGAATTCCT